TATGCTGGCGGTAAATTATTTTTTCTCAAAAGTGCAACGGTATCAGGTATCCAATCTATTGCAGCTACTGAGTATTATGACACATCTACTAGAATAAATAATAAAATCTTTGGGCAGTGTGTTTTTCGCCTGACAAGCGGCATGTAGTAAAACATGGACTGGACTCATTAGTAAAACATAGACTGGACCCGATTAGTAAAACATGGACTCGATTAGTAAAACATGGACTCGATTAGTAAAACATGGACTCGATTGGTAAAACATGGACTCGATTAGTAAAACATGGACTCGATTAGTAAAACATGGACTCGATTAGTAAAACATGGACTCGATTAGTAAAACATGGACTCGATCAGTAAAACATGGACTCGATTAGTAAAACATGGACTCGATCAGTAAAACATGGACTCGATCAGTAAAACATGGACTCGATTAGTAAAACATGGACTCGATTAGTAAAACATGGACTCTATTAGTAAAACATGGACTCGATTAGTAAAACATGAGCTCGATTAGTAAAACATGGACTCGATTCAGGGCCGTAGGAAGCTCTTTTCGATTGGGGGGGCTGAAAGCGAGGGCCGAAGGCCCGAGGAAATTTTTAAATTTAGAGTCTCTAAAATGCCATTTCCTGGACTTTGGGTGAAGATTTAACAGAATTCTGATAGTCAGAAAACAGCGTTTTAGTATGTCGAAATTTACAGGAAAGTATGGGCCAGACTGTAGTATTATAAATGCGCGGCGGGAATTTTCGTCGTAAATGGCAGTTGCGCGAAAATGAAGGCAGAACATTTGAGAAAATTTCGAAAATCTGGAGTCTCTAGATGGTCTGAAATGGCATTTTCAGAGTTTTCTTTCGCAAGACCCAACACGCAAAAGAAAAAATAAATCATTAGTTCATCAAAAATGTGCAGATTTTGTGGGATTTTCTTGAAAATGCGCGACAGAAATTCAGCTAAAATTTCTACGCGAGGAACGATCTGGAGTATGAGTAATATCTTCATTCTTTGCAGTTTGTCACAGATTAAATGATAAAGTTTGCATGATTTTGAAAAAAAAATGATTATTAGCAAATTATTGGGGGAGGGCTGCAGCCCCCCCCCAGCCCCCCCCCCCGGTTGCTACGGCCCTGCGATTAGTAAAACAAGGACTCTATTAGTAAAACATGGACTCTATTAGTAAAACATGGACTCGATCAGTAAAACATGGACTCGATCAGTAAAACATGGACTCGATTAGTAAAACATGGACTCGATTAGTAAAACATGGACTCGATTAGTAAAACATGGACTCGATTAGTAAAACATGGACTCGATTAGTAAAACATGGACTCGATTAGTAAAACATGGACTCTATTAGTAAAACATGGACTCTATTAGTAAAACATGGACTCGATCAGTAAAACATGGACTCGATCAGTAAAACATGGACTCGATTAGTAAAACATGGACTCGATTAGTAAAACATGGACTCGATTAGTAAAACATGGACTCGATTCAGGGCCGTAGGAAGCTCTTTTCGATTGGGGGGGCTGAAAGCGAGGGCCGAAGGCCCGAGGAAATTTTTAAATTTAGAGTCTCTAAAATGCCATTTCCTGGACTTTGGGGGGAAGATTTAACAGAATTCTGATAGTCAGAAAACAGCGTTTTAGTATGTCGAAATTTACAGGAAAGTATGGGCCAGACTGTAGTATTATAAATGCGCGGCAGGAATTTTCGTCGTAAATGGCAGTTGCGCGGAAATGAAGGCAGAACATTTGAGAAAATTTCGAAAATCTGGAGTCTCTAGATGGTCTGAAATGGCATTTTCAGAGTTTTCTTTCGCAAGACCCAACACGCAAAAGACAAAATAAATCATTAGTTCATCAAAAATGTGCAGATTTTGTGGGATTTTCTTGAAAATGCGCGACAGAAATTCAGCTAAAATTTCTACGCGAAGAACGATCTGGAGTATGAGTAATATCTTCATTCTTTGCAGTTTGTCACAGATTAAATGATAAAGTTTGCATGATTTTGAAAAAAGAATGATTATTAGCAAATTATTGGGGGGGGGGGGCTGCAGCCCTTGCAAATCCTGCAAGGCTATTCTGAACAAAAAAAAATACCTGCACTAAGAAACTGGGAAACAAAATATCCTGCCCCAGTATTTGGTGCAGGGATCGATTTGACCAGTCCGAGAAGATCAGCTGGTTTGATTTTCAGGGACTAGTGTAAGGTTAATTTCTAGTTGGAAAACTCCTCAAAATGCTGGAAATAGCTTATCTGAGCTTCAAAAAATCCAAAATTTTCTGGGGGCCATGCCACCAGACCCCTCTAGAGGCTCGCGCCTTCGGTGGTCGACTCAGTTGTCTCAGAGTCCTAGTTAAGCATGGCCTGAGCTGCTCTATGACGTATACTTATCAGTTAAACCATGCATATATATGCTGTAGGTAGCTGCAATGATACAGATACAGGGTTGTAGCGAGGAGGGGGTATTGGGGGGTGGTTAACCCCCCAACCTTTTTAGAATCAACATATTCAGAAAATCGGGTTGGCCATTCGGAAAATTATGGCAATAATAGTAGAACAAAATTTTAGTTGTTAAACAGAAAAAAATATTATAAAATTGTATTGTCACTATAAACGCTTTTTTCTGACCATTTCTGTCAAAACTTGCAAATGGCATTTCAAAGACATTTCTATGAAATGGCATTTCGAAATTTAAAAATTTCCTCGGCCCTCGCTTTCTGCCACCAATAAACAAAAGCTCCCTACCGCACTGCTTCTGTATACTGTCTGTGCGTACAATATGCGTATTTTTGTTTGCAAATTGCGTCTTCATTTTCCGAATAGCAAACATCTTCGTGGCTTAGTATGCCATGATATATTCGGAAATTGTTTTCGTCATTCAGAAATTTTTTGCCTACACCCCC